ATCCAGCCCATACTTCTTTAACTTGGTGGCAAGAATACTGTGGGAGACAGTATCAAAAGCTTTGCTAAAGTGTACTGTCATGGATGGATATAAACTGTTCAGGAAGAACAGGCAGGGCAGAAAAGGTGGGGGAGTTGCATTGTATGTAAGAGATCAGTATGACTGAAACTGCAGAAAAACCTGAGAGTCTCTGGATTAAATTTAGAAGTCTGAGCAACAAGAGTGATGTCATGGTGGGAGTCTGCTATAGACCACCAGACCAGTGTCTGGTGGGAATGAGGTGGACAAGGCTTTCTTCCGGCAACTAACAGAAGTTACTAGATCACTGGCCCTGGTTCTCATGGGAGACTTCCATCACCATGTAGCGGGGTGGTCACCCGCTCCTGCCCTGAAGGGCTTAAAACAGCCGGAGAGAGGGCTGTGGCAGGGAAAAGCTGGACTGATTGGGGAAGCGGCTGCAGCTGGGCCATGCCTCAATCAGGCCCAGCTGGTCCCTATAAAAGGCTGTGAGCCAGAGGCCCAGGGTACTCTCCCTCTGCATTCAGAAAGAGAAGGGCCTGGCTGCAGGGAGCTAGAGACAGGGTATCTGAGTGGAGCAGGGCTGGGGAAAGGCAGAGGAGTTGTGGAGCTCCAGCCTTGAAAGCCCCAGGCTGCGGCCTAGCATAAGGCCAATAGGTACTGGGGGTTGCAGAGGGCAGCCCAGGGATAGGCAAAAGCAGCAGGCCCAAACCCAACCTTGCCGATGATGACTGGCTTATACTGCAGTCTGTCCTGCGGGGGCTAGTTGCTGACTGGCAGTGGCCTTATTCTGAGGCGAGGTAGGGATAGTGGGTGGGGGTTCCCTGGGGAGGGGAGACCCAAAGAGAAAGGGGTACTGCCAGGGGGCAGCACCCAGAGAAAGGGGCACCGGGGTCCTGGGAAGGACCCAGGCCAGTGGCAAGGCGGATCACCGGCCTGCAGAGGGCGCTCCAACAGCTGGATGAGCTAATTCCCAAGAAGACCAGCAGGAGGTGCCGCCGGGTGAGTCCGCGCACTGCTACACACCCTGATATCTGCTGGGAGAGCAATACAGTGGTGCACAGACAATCCAGGAAGTTTTTGGAAAGTGTAGGGGACAATTTCCTGGTGCAGGTGCTGGAGGAACCAACAAGGGGCAGAGCTCTTCTTGACCTGGGAAGAATTAGTAGGGGAAGCAAAAGTGGATGGGAACCTGGGAGGCAGTGACCATGAGATGGTCGAGTTCAGGATCCTGACACAAGGAAGAAAGGAGAGCAGCAGAATACGACTTCAAAAAAGCAGACTTTGACTCCCTCAGGGAGCTGATGGGCAGGATACCCTGGGAGAATAACATGAGGGGCAAAGGAGTCCAGGAGAGCTGGCTGTATTTTAAAGAATCCTTATTGAGGTTGCAGGAAAAAAAATCCCGATGTGTAGAAAGAATAGTAAATATGGCAGGCGACCAGGTTGGCTTAACAGTGAAATCCTTGCTGATTTTAACACAAAAAAGAAGCTTACAAGAAGTGGAAAGATAGGGAGAACAGCCGCATTAACAACACTATAAAATGGGGGAGTTACACTTACTGACTATAGGAATAAT